TTCTTTCTTCTCTCTCTCTCTCTCTCTCTCTCTCTCTCTCTCTCTCTCTCTTTTTTCCTTTTCAAAAATCGTAGTCAATAAAAAAAATGCTCTAAATTCATCTATAACTAGGTAATTGCGTATGAAAAAAAAGAATATATAATAAACATGTGAACTAAAACAATATAAATACAAAAACTTAGTAATGTAGATATTTTCTCGAATTTAAAATGTATGTCTCCAAGGTGTACCTTTCGCTGAACAATAATTGCCAGTTTTTATCAAACGGGACTTCAAGTTTTTAAATTGATTGGTGTCCCCTTCCTTGAACACCTGCCCGCAATCGCCGTATCTGCACGGCGGTTTCCTAATCGGTCCACGAAAACGGGAATTGTCGTTGCCCGAATATTTGTTCCCCCCCCCCTGTTTCCCGTTTTCATCCAGTTGACACGTCTCCGAGCTGAACGATTTATCGCATTCATCCTTCCGCTCGTCCGTGAATTCAACCCCATTGAAATACGCCTTGTGCTTGCACTTTTTATTAGTCTTGTACTTCTCCACGAGAATGCACAAGGAATCCTTGTGATTGATCGTGGCCACGGAATCGTCCAGTTCCTCGTCGTTCTGCTCCTGCATCGCCAACACCTTCTCCGAATCTTTTCCACGACAGTTAGTGCAAGTCGACTCCCGTACGATGGCGTGATCGTTACGGTTGCAACTTCTGAAGTTGTTCGAGTTCGAGGAACAGAGGCAAGTGTCAGACGCGAGACGTTTTTCTTTCGAGGAATGCCTGAATTTGGGAAAAAACAGTTGCAAGGATTTTCCTTTCTAATTTTCGTACAAATAGTTAGTTGTTTAAATAAAATTTAAAATAAAAATACGAATAAAGATACGAATGGAACGAATCCCTGTGAGTACCTGTTGTACTCGTCGCAACGGTGATGGCAGTGGTCGTGAGAATGGCAACAATGACGATTCTGGCGACAGCAATCTCGATGAGGCTGTAGAAGATTTAGAGTCGAATGTTTCTCGCAGTTGCAGGCGTGCGAAATGCTAGATGACGATGGGTTGTACTTCTGTGGAGTGAACGTGCATCGCAAATTTCGATGGAACGATTTGCAACCCTTTCCTTCGCCGTTACAATCGTGCTCGTCCCGGCTGCAATCTAAAAATGTAACGAGAAGCGATAAAATATTCACGCGAGGATAATTTAACAACGATTCGAGGAAGAAGATTCGACTCACTTCGTTTCTCTTCTTTGGACGAACCGTTAGGTTTAACGTTGTTCGTTTCGTTTTGATCTCGGTCGTACAGAAGATTAACAGAATCCAATTTGGATGGGATTTCTTTCGAGTTCCGTTTTTGCAAGTAGGAAAACGCACCGTGAAAATGATTAGAATTTCGAGACTCTGTTACGGGATTCTTCATTGGCTTCGAGTCGCAACTAAAACAAATATAAATATGTTAATTAGAAATCGATATCGATGTTATTATAATATCGCGTTTTTATGTCCATCCAGGAAACGATTAATAACGAGAAAAAGAGCCTTGGCATTTGCATCGATTCTCGTATTATTATTATTATATTATTAAACCGATGAATATTAAATTCTTGCGAGTGGATATTATCGTAATAATTTTCTCAACTTAATTTAACGTTAATATTTATGAATTATAATAGTTTTTAATATTCCAAAAAATGCTTTCAAAATTTGAAAGAACATTGATCTGGAATGAAATTACGATTAATTTAATCTATTATTACGGCTTGAAGTTTGAACGTCGATATTTCGAAGGAAAGCTTTATCTCTAATTATTTCAAATTATGAACGTATTCATGAAACCATTGTAATTTATTTCAGGATATCTCTCTAAATGCGTACGCGTATAACCAAGTACTGAAATTCAATTTAAATTCCATTTTCTCGATATAATTGCAACATGTTTTTCCATAATTCTTGTTGTAATTGCCAATATCCTTTTAGATTAAAACGTGTGTATACGATCGATCAATTTTCTTGTGCAAAATGTGTCATACCCTTCCACTTGTTCCAATTTTGAGAATTCGTTTTTCTGCGTGATTTCGTTATGCTCTTTGCTTGGAACGATGTCGAGCGTGTCCCCAACATTACACTGCTCGTTACGTTTACGACAACAACTGCATATTATTGGCTTTTGGAATAAATTTTCCTTGGTCGAGCCATTTTCTCCACACTCATCGTTCCAATACGACTTTACTTGATTCGGCCTTGATTTTGAAGAATTCCTCGTTAACAGTAAATTCTCTTGATCATTTGAATCCTCATTTCCGCTAAGACTTTCAGCCTGGTCACACACATTGATAGAAATTTTAATAAGCACACATTATCGACAACGTTTCTTTAAAAAACACAATATTATTATTTATTACTTATTTATTATATAACAGTTCGAAAGTCAATCATTTTTGTTTTGATCTATTTCCGTAAAAAAATGTCACCTTCTTTTTGAGAAAAATAAATATTTTATATAAATTACTGTTCAATAGAAACAATTGCATAATTAGATAAAAAAGTTCGGTTCAATTTTTAGCCATAAAATTGAAATCAAGAAAATCACTATTATATTATTGTATTATTAGCGAACGAAATACATTAGAAACCCTAATGTCAAAAACATTACAACATGCAACAGATACATTTCTCTGACAGATTTTTAATCTGATCTATCAAAAATAAATTTGAATTTATACATTTGTTACAAATCCATCCGATATAAGATAAATATTTTTTAGAAAATAGATTACAAAATTATATTACGTATGAAACCATATTACCTTATCGAACTTCGTTGCTTCTTCCGAGTTGCAATACAGACCAAAATTTTTCGGGAATTTACGCCGAGCTCGACGAAAAGCCATCGCGGCTGCGACCAACTGATGAGACGAAGACGGACAAACCTGAGACATGGCTAAGAAGTCGTATAAATCGAGTCGAATATTCTCCGGATTTAAAAATAATTCAATTTGTCATTCGGAGTGATTGGTTAAGTTTCCTGTAGGTAAAGGGCAATTGAACGTTGAAGTGAGCTACACTCTTTCACTAATAATTTACGAAGAAATCGAATTCGATTCTTCTATCGATGCTATTGATTCGAAAATAGTAAAAAATACAATAACAAGTAACAAGTAATAACCAACGATAGTCTTCGCTTTAAAATGGCACAGAACATTGTGAATTATATCTTACAATTAATAGATTAAATATTAAATGTATAAATATTAAATAGATTAAATATATTTTATATTTAATTCGTTCGTTGAAATTAAATTTTCAATTAAAATTTCTCGAGATTAAATGATTATATTGAAAGTTTTCCTCTTTATTAGAAATTAAATATCTTATGTAAATTTAAATGGACATGTATCCTTATTATTCTTATAAAATCCCTTAGAGTTTTCTGTTAATTGGCCATTTTACGATATTTCTATTATAATCTTTAAGCACACTGTTCTTATATAACGATATACAATTCCGATACCGTACAGATTCATTGGATTTGTATTAAACAGGATTTCGTCTAGTAATGGAAATCTAAACCGATATTCGGTCATCCTTCATATCGTATCGAAACGTTTGATTTTAATTAGATGATAACAAAAAACGAACTGTTTTAATAATATTCATCGATTGTATTTAACAATAAATTTAATTTTTATTAAACTATATATATATATATATATATAAAACTTTAAATTATATAAATGAATAATCGTAAAATAAGCTTATATTTTCTCAAAATGTAATATCGAATAATTGTTAAGTTTTTAATTATGAAATAAATTTGAATTAAATATAATTAAAGTATTCTGTGATATTGATTGATAGTTTTAGAAAAAAAAAATTTATAGTTAATTGCATAAACCGCGATAAAAATGGAAAAAAATATAATAAGAAGGAATCTTGAAATCGATAATTAACAGTTTTCTATTATCAGAATTTTAATTAATGCTGAAATAATTGGAAAATATTTTGTCATTGTAAAAGTTAATCAAAGTTTTTTAAAGACGGTTTAAAAATGATTGAATGAAATAATTTTAAATTGATTATCGATATATAAAAACAGATAACTATTACATATCCTACGATATATATGTATATATATTATACGATATAATATCTTGTATAAATAAGCAAAAATATTAAAAATAACATTGACATTATGATTGAATTGAATTAAATTGATGATTGAATTAAATCAATCATTGAGTTCGAGATCATTGAAGTTAAATTAATTTATTCAAAAAATTGTTCCATCGGAAAATATATTTCTATAACTAAACCATAAAAATTAATAACTTAACCCAAAGAGAAAGATTCCATACATCAGTCAAAATTCAACAGATTCGAGCTTAACTCGTTTTTTTATCATAATAGTAAAATATCGTACTGTATCAAGAATCATCTCTTCATGAAAACTAATCCTCTTAACTTACTCATTAAATCAAAAATATTACATTATAACAACGATTAATTAATTTACACTTTTCACAGATACATATGAGAATCACGACAATTTTTTACACGGAAAAATCCGAGATTTTGATATTAACGTCTCATAAAATTGTAAGTGACGATTTAATCACCTTAATTTAAACAGTTTGTATACAAACTCGCATATATCGTATGTATACTATTCATACATGAATATACAATACGGATAAAGTATGCCGATAACAAAAAAAAATAGATGCCTATATGATAAGTTTGAGACAGGATTATATACTATGGATATAAAATATTATATTTCTAAATCTTCATATGATTATATGTGCGTGAATACTAAAAGCATTTCTTGGAACTAATTAGAATCGTCATTTTTCGTTATATGCACCAACATCGCACCTGATATTCTATATTCTTTTTCGCAAATCCTGATTTTTTGCATTATGTAATTATGTGTTACCAAAATTTTATCTTACGTATTTTTATCTTGCGCGCGTTACTCATTCATAACACAGCATTTGTAAATTTATTATTATTCGCTATCTTTGAGACGTTCATTATAAATAATTTGTAACATATACACAATTTTTACAAAACAGCATCTTCGCAGCGACACATTTGCAACAAATAATTAAATTATAATTAATTGTATCACAAGGAACAATTCAATGAAGATAACATAATGCAATACCATCCATTTCCTTATGTTTTTTAGAATTTAACATTCACGATAAATGGATTAGTTGAATGATGTAAAATCGGACGGACTGCATCAGCCATCTTTAAGGTACTAACGTAAGAACTTCAGTTTCATCATATTATATATTTAATTCATCCATGGTGGACAAGAAGTTGGTGGTTGATATGTTTGAGAAATTGGCACCTGATAATGCTGTACTGTTTGAGGTGGATGCTGCGGTCGCTGCTGATGATGCGGCGGTGGTGGTGGCGGTGGATTGCAAATGGATTGCATCAATGGGTGTGAATTATAAGGAGGAGGTTTTGTCGTATATGGTGGCATTTGATTATATTCGATATTCAATGGATGTTCCAATATCGCATTTTGTACGGGTGAACGGTTACCTTCAACGTGTCCTAAATAATAAACATAAAAATTCATTATGTTATATTTATATTCATATTTACAATTAAATTATAAAAATCCAAAATTTGAGCATAATTGTAAATTATTATAATAAAAAACTATTTAAAAATTGAAAAATTATATTAAATAGTATATAATTTCGATTAACAAATTTTATTTGAAAATTCCTTATCTTCTTTCTAAATATTTATTAATCTAAATATTTAATAATCTTGTATTCTATATTATATTACTTATATATTTTAATTAAATTAAGTTAATTATATGAATTTTTTATAAATAATAATATATAATTATATACAATTATCGACATTCATTATGAATACCTCTAGGTCTAATTTGTGGTGGTGGCATATTTGTTGGAGGTAATGTAGGACACATTCCTTGATGCTCTCCATCCCTTGGCATTGGTGGTGGTCTACCCCATGGAACTCTAACATGATGTGTTTGCCAAGGTGCTTGTGGTAAAAGTGAAGGGGGTAAAGGTGGCCCACCTCCAGGATGTATATTTACTGAATCTCCCATTGGATTCTGCTCATTTCCTATTACACAAATATATACACATAATGTAATCTATTTCTCAATTTATAAGAAAACATAAAAACAACTGCATCAGAACAAATTTTTAATATACCTGTATTCATGGCAGCACTTTTTTGATCCAAGTTGCGTTTTTCACCTAAATAATGAAAATTCATGAAATGAAATAAAGTATATAAAATTATGTATAAAACAACTATATGTAAAATGTATTATAAAATTAAATATGGCAAATAACGTAATGAAATATTGTAGTATAATTGTTAATTCGTCAAATTAAAAAAAATCAATAAACAAAATAGAAATAAAATTGTTTTTTTATATATGAAATCTTATAAATATTTTTAAATTAAAATATTATTTGTGTTATTCAAAATATTATTATACTGTTCTAATGGCATTGTTTTGTATTTTAATCACAATATAGTAATTTTTTAAACATATTATAAAATTATAAAATAATACAACAATATTTCACGTCATTGACCGTTTCTTATTAAAAAGAAAAAAATAGCAGTTATAACGCTAAATGCATCTGAAAACATATAATAAATATATATTCATTAAATCAGCTATCATATCACGATTAATATAACACCTCTTCAGTTAATATTTGTCTAATCTGTAAAATAAAATGTTATTAAAAATTGATTTTCATTTACTATTCAAACTCCAATTTCTTATCATTCAGAATATTACTGGATTCACTGCAAAATAAATAATAAAAAAATCAATTATACATAATTACTTAGCAAATCCCAAAATGTTTTGATTTCATTGGATTGTTTTGATTCTGTAAATTTTATATAATTTTATATATTATATATATAGAAGGAACTACATTAAATAATTCATAAATTATGAATCATTAATGTCAATATGGCATTATGCTGCTACTCCATGTATTCACATGCTCAGCTTCAGAGATCTGATTCTAAGATACATCTTTAAAATTTCATTTTATTAAACTTAAAATACTAATATTAAAACATAGAACGCATTTCAACAGAATACGAACGATAATAATTATAGTTAATATTCATTAAAAGTAATCACTGAAATATAAAATCACATTATTACAGAGATCTGAAAATACAAAAATATACTTTAATTCAATAATAAAAACATATGAAGAAGCATTAAAATTAGGATGCTTAGTTAACTATTTTAATTATGTAATACAATAGCGAAAGTCTTGTTAATTCTAAATAATAACAAATAAAGACAAATGGAAAGCAATCTAGCTGTGATATCACGTAAACGTTGTGGATAATTCTGGACGTCTATCTGCAAAGTGTTTGAATGAGTACATGAAGAAGCAAGTTGCTAACAATAAGACATGGATTAAGAATAAAGAGAAATTTGTATTGTTTAGTAAAAAATATATTTACAATAAATAATGTACTACAAGCTAAGAGTATTGAGAAACAATGCTAGATACCCATCTGAAATAAAAATATATATAGAGTGTTAAATTATAAATATATTATGATTAAATAGCATATTTTAAATTAAAAATAAAAATCTTTTGATTCATCGTATAAAAAAAAAATATATAAAAGAAATTGTTTAATTAATTTTTATATTTATTAATATACATTATATTTGTATTAATTTTCAAAAGGTATCCAGCACTCTTTCATCATAAATACTCTTAGTTACAGACCTGGATGTGGAGGTGGCATTAGCAGCTTGTTTCGATCTCCATGAGGTAGACCCGTAGCTGTTGATGATGGACCATGTAAGACTTGCTGCTGTCGATCACCTTCTCTGCTTAAACAATTCAGTTTCAAATTATTAATTCACAATCAATGATTGTAAAGTAAACATTTCAAAACTTAAGCAAATATCACCTGAAGCTCAGCCATGGATATTTCTGAAATGTTAAAAGCATCTAGTATCTCCAGGTCACCAATATTACCAAACTTTTGTATAAAAAGAACTTATAATAATTCAGTTATAACGTAATAATACAGAATACTATAATATTATAATTAAATCCAATTATATTTTATGTATAATATGTATAATATATAATTATATTTTCTAATTTTATTTTATTTTGATTAAAATTAATAATAGCCATCGATAACGAAAATA